ATGAGCCCCAGGGTGTCGATGAGGGAAGCCGTGTGGATGACCAGGGACACGCCCTGGCAGGCACGGTGCAGGAACGTCACATCTCGGATGTCCCCTTCCAGGATTTGCACCTCAGTCTTTCCCTTGAACTCTGCAGGGGGAGCAGAAAACAGAGCACAAGGCCTTGCAGRCATGCTAAACAGGGCACTGGAAGGRGTGCTGAAGGGCTGACCCTGCCTGGCATTTCCCAATGACTCTATTCCCAAATGCTACCTACAGTGCTGTAGAGGTTTATTTTGCATTACCTACCATAGATCTAGAGCCAGCATTCAATGTGTTTCTTTCTCTTTTATTTTTTAAAGAGAAATCTTTTGCACTGCTAGCCAGCTTTCTGTAGGTGTGACTGTTTTAAAGTTCACAGAGGAGCAGTTTGAGCTGTGTCTGTCTTGGTGACTGAATGTCTGTAGATGTGTGAACCCCAGATACTGATCAAACACTGCCTGTTCCTGTCTTCATGATGATGAATGATTTCTCTCCACCCAGAGCATGTGAGCACAGGGATGTGCTCACACCTATTTCTGCCTCTTTACCTTGCTGGTAWTGCAGCTCCTCTAATAAATTGCAAACAGTTCTGACACATCTTCTTCTTGTGCCTTGGCCAGAATTACAGTGCCTCTTCCCACTCCAGCTCTGGCTCCATTTCAGTGTCTGTTGTCTGGAATCATATTTAGCTTGTCTTTCTGATTCATAGCTGAACTTTCTCCYGAGCTACCTCAGCCCTTGGCTTGACTAAATCCTGCTTTTTTAAGCCCTCTGGCTCCACAGCAGCTGCTGTGTGTGACCCCAGAGGAGCTGGAGGTCTCAGAGCCCAGCACAGCCACTGGGAGGGACTCTGCAGCACAGGCAGAGCCTCTATCTTCTTCCAGCACAGCCAAATGGCCCTTTTAGATAAGAACCTGATTAATTTGTCCAGGTTTTAACTTCAGCCATGACTAAAATCTCATGTATTTTAGCACTTTGTCACCAGCTCCAAAGCAGGCAGGATTTCATCCATGTCTTTAACATGAAACACTGACAGAGACAGCTCTTGGGATCTGGAACTGAGTGGGAATATCTTTTAAAATGGTTTTATCTCATTATCTCCATAGCATGCTAGARTGTAATCCTGTATCAATTTAAAAATTGTTCTGGTACACCACATACAGTTGAGATTGAAGATTTGTGAAACATTTGCAAAACTGTTACAAAATCTAGAGTTAGATTTTAGACTGTGTCCTCCCAGCACAGTCATTGCCACATGCTCACTTCTGCTCCTTTATTTTACAGATTTCATCTGTTTCCTGAGACTCCAGAAGGTCCACTCTGACCTCTAAGTGTATGGATGCAAAAGTGTTAACAATGCTTTTTGTTAAGCACCTGCTAGTTAAATTTGCTCTAATAAATATTAGTCTTTGTATGGCACTTAGGTTGATGTTCTCCGTGAGTCAGGCTTTGTGGGATTGCAGTAATCCCAAGAATAGGCAGAAATAGTTTTCACAACATAAATTCTGATAAGATTCTGATTACAGTTTGGAAAATGGAAGTTTTCACAGGTGTAAATCAAAACTTTCAGGAAAAGCACAGAAGAAAGCCTGTCCCTTTTAAAGCTGATGACAAGAAAAGTGCTGTCTGGCTGCTTTGTGCCTTGTTTGGCCTTGCAGTTGGTGTGTGTGATATGAGTCAGGAAATCTGCTCCTCTGTTCCATTTTTGCCAGCAGAAGTTGCCATGGTAAGTACAATATGGACCTCACTCATTTTTAGCAGCATCAGGAATCAGCAGATTGGTCTTGCTTTGCTCTGGGTGAACAGAAAACTACAGGTGAGATTGGAAGCAGAGAGAGGAATAAATTACTGACAAACAGTGGATTCAGGCTGAGGTGAACAGCAGAGAGAAATGTGATTCCCATTTACACTCAAAAGAACACATGTGGGTGCCTCAGAGGGGGAGGGACAGAATGAATTCAAGTCAGCTCTCCATTTTTGCATAAAGTSATTATGACAAAGTACCTCCTCACTGGGAAAGCTTTTTCTTCTTCAACAGTGCTTTCTGTGTCCTCTGAGTTGTAAGCAAATTCCCTGCTTGCTGTGGGGTAGTTTTTACTCAAAAAATGCAATGGTTTCTCAATAAAATCCAGTGTCCTGTTGTGAGCAGTTTTTGACTCAGCAATACAGT